GTGTGTGTGTGTGTGTGTGTGTGTGTGTGTGTGTGTGTGTGTGTGTGAGAGAGGGAGATTAGTTCACACACAAACATCTCCGCCTCAGGGAAACACCCCACTCTCTCTCTCTTCCCTCCTCCTTTTATTCCCTCCTTCTTGTCTTTTTTTAATATCTCTCACATCAGGTCATTCCCTTTCTTTCATCCGATCACCTTGAAGGACTCGTGGAGCAAAAACCATTTCCACTCCTCCTCCTCAGTCGCTGCTCCCGTTCGACTCCAGCTGTTCCTCCTGCTTGATTCTCAGTTTTGAACCTTCTCTTTTGTTGCATCTCCTCCTCATATTCTTTCAGTTTTGCTGTTGTGAGTCCCCGGCATCATAAATAAGTCAAAGAAGAGCTCGCACAAAGGCAATAGAGCAAGCCAGATATCTCTGATGGGCTTCTCTCTCTGTGAGCTGTTGCTTTTTGTTTGATTCCATATCAGTAAAAAAAATAGATAATATTTTTGCACTTTGCATGTTTTTTCTGCCTTTAACATTGAACACAGCGAGGCAGTATGAGAGAGAAATTAATCTTTTCACTTTTCAAATCATTTGGAAACATTCATACTTTCCTTTGTTCCCTTTTGAGCAAAAAATGACTCCATCAATAGGTTTTTTTTAAAACACAATTTGCCAATTTTGCCATCCAAATCAATAACTAGACATGTTGCTGATCACATGAATGAACACTAACGGTTAATACAAAAAGACAGCCAACAGTTTAACCTTGAGGAGACCCCTACTCAATTCTCTTTAAGCCCATCACAGCGATTACAGAATTTAGCTTTAGCCTGCTAATCTGCTCTAGATCCACATTAAACTGCTCCTCAGGAGGCTGAGCAGAGGGGGAGTGCAATCATTTACAGCATGGCCTCTTCAAGAATTTGGTTTTGGTCTCTTTGGTTCTTGCAGCGCATTTGAAATTAAAACAATGACGCCGAGTGGAAAATACAAACTGTCGGCTTCAGTTTTTTTTTTTCATGCACGTCTTGGGGATTGTAACACATTTAACACCCCCGAGGGTAAGAAGTATGTAAACAACCTAAAACACCCTTCACCATGAAAATGAGTACTTTAACCTCTGTCTTTACCATTTCTACTTCCTGCTACTAAAGCATGATTAACGTTTGTTATGGTGATGTGAAGGCAACTCAAAGCTTTTGGTCAAGGTGCTTAATTCAACAGTCATTGAACAAGCAGCAAACAAGTATTTGCTGTGTAAAGATATAATGAAGTAATGTTTAAATGAGCAAAGGACGAAGTCGCTCTCCCTCTGTGTTGTTATCCGAGCTTCTCTGTGCTTTGCCTGATAGTTAACATACATAGTCAGGCCCGCCGCTCGTGCCTTTTTAAGGGCACGTGCGCGTGCCCCACTCGCCCCAACAGACAGCGTCGGACACGTGTTGCTGGAATTTTCTGCAACACTAACTTTTGGTATCTCTAAAAACTTTTTTAGAATTTCTCTCGTTGCTATTCAGGTTGTTTTAATGTGCAAACTGCGTTTTAAAAAAATGTGCATGAATGCAGATGGATTGAAAAGGCACTTGTTTGTTTTCATCAGCACAGAGCCAAAACAAGGAGGAACATGTCTCTGTTCTAATACTGACAGACTGCATGTCTATATATTAGTGTGACTGAATGTGTGTTAAGTCTTATGCAGGTGGGCAGGGTGTGTGAGACTGTGGGGGGGTAGTTGAGAAATTAGAAGAAGCCCCCCGTCTCTCTGAACAAAGCTGAATTATGGAGTGAATGAGCCTCTGGTATCACCATGTTTCTCTCGAGGGTGGTGAGGAGGTTTTCTGTTTTTTCTCTCCGAAACAAAAAGCTGACCCCCCGTTGAGATTCTCTGCAGGGGGGCGCACTTGCCGAGCCATCTTCCTCTCCCTCTGGGAGACGCTCCACCAGCCCCTCCGCCCCCCCCTCCCTTGTTAGTCTCCATCGCCCCCCACCCCACCCTCCCCCATTCTCTCTCTTCTCATTTCCCTCCCTCCGAGGCTTCATTTAACTCTCTCTCTGATCGCTTTTCCACCAGAAAAAACTCTTTCCCTCTCCTTTTTTCTCGTCATCTTCCCTTTGTGTGCAGGTAGCGATCTCCATCCTCTCTCTATCGCCTCTCCTCTCTTGCTGTCTCTCGACCTCCCCCCTCTGACCCCAATCCTGTAATCTCCCTCCTCTTATCTGTCTTTTTACAACTTATTGGGAAAACACTGCCTTTTCTCTCCCTTCTCTCTTCTCCCCTTTTTTATTCTCTCCGCAATTTGGCGCTCGCTGGAGCCTGTGAGAAGACCCAGGGGGTTGGTTGCTCTATGAAGCGACATCTCTGAATAAATAAGCATGGGTAATTTGCTCCAAACCTGCAGCCCCGTATTTTATTTTTTTTCTTCTTTTCACCCTCCCAGTTTAGAGAGAAGAGATAAAGACACAATAAAATGGTGGGAGATCCTCACAGAGGCTCATTACATGGTTGTCAGTGAAGTTTTTTCACAGGGCTTTGTGACAGATCGCTCGGCCCCACTCCGCTCCGTCTACTTCTTTTCAGGGCAAACTATCTATATTGCAGTCCTGTTTTTTTACAATCGTTGAGTTTTTTTGGATGAAACCAGTTTTATTTCAGGAAGGAATGAACCGTCAATTCGAGCTGAACTAAGGCAGATCATTGAGAACAAGTTGCACCTCACACGCCCAGCCAATGAGACTCTGATAAGGATTAGGCAATTTACGAGCAATTTACCTCCAAAAAGGAGACATTTCATGCAATGAACTGGGTGTGGTGTATCCATCCATGGATGCTGTAACACCAAATGCTTCTCTGTCTCTCTCCGCTACACACACACACTCCTCCATTCATGGCCCGGTGAGGGAAGTGTGTGAGAGCCAGGTCAACTGTGAACATCAGGTATTAATAATGCAGGACAGGAAGCAGCCCCTCCGACTCCAAAGCCGCGCACTTGGACTCTGCGTTGTCTGCTCTCCATCGCACCGCTGTGAGCTACATAACCCGACCGGAGGAGACCAGAGGTGTGTGCGGGGGAGGAAACCTGCCAAAGCAGCTTCCAAAACGTTTTGGTGAAAAAGGCTCAAACAAATTAATAAAAAAAGGTTATATAAGTAGAATTTTGCAAGAGATACCACGAGGAGAACGGTAATGTTAAATCTGACATATTTTCACCTATTTATCACTTGCCTCAAAGTTGCTGACTGTGCTGCAGCTTTTCCAAAAAATATGTGAAAAAAATGTGTTGTTTTGAACTCACTGATAATCAAAATATGAAATAATGGAGTAAGTTTATAAAACTTTCACGATTACCGAGTTTGCTGGCATTTTCCAGCTAGTTGGTGAACACACTTCTGTAACTTTTGTCTCCTTTAGAGGTTATCATCAGTATTTATAATATATTAAAAAAGATTCACATGACTTATCTGAAAGGAGTCTCTTATAGCAGGCTGTTCTCACCGTTCGAAAGTCAATGCAGTGTAATTCGTAGATATCCCACGAAAGCAAATCCACGTAATCATTAACCAACAAGTACAAAGACTGCCAAACGTCATACACGGCGTGCGGGGAGGGGACGTATGGGTCAAACAAACAAGCATGCATTTACCCTCTCATTGAAAGCAATAACTCTTCCACCACATCAGACCATGCTCTGCCTCTTTCTGTGATTAAAAAAGATGTATAAATCATAGAAAATGCAAAGTCTTACCTTCAAAAGAGGCTCCGCATCTTTATCAGCTGCTCTCGTGGCTTCTGTTTAATGGTGTACTTTGGACTGAGTGGCCTCTGTTTTTAGCAGTGACATCATTTCTATGTAAATGTTGTAATGATAATACCTATCAGAGGTCTCTTTTGCTGAGTCGGCCTTAATGTAACCAGCAGCACAAATTCTTCCTTTATTCTAATTGTTAATATGATTGTTTTCCACATTTTACTTCACAGCAGTTCGTGCCACAGATAAGAAAACTACAATTTTATTATCATTATTATTGCTTCACTGACTGTTTTGTTCCTGTGGATAAATTGATTCACAAAAGGAACTGAAACAGAATTTTTGATAAAGCTTGACTCAGGCAAGAACACCAGAAATGACTGTAAACAACAACTGGTAAGTTTCCACCATTCATCTTGTGATATGAACTTAACTTTTATTGGAAAAACACCCTCTAAGACCTTTATACTTTCACATCCTGATCAAGCTCAAACATCTGCTTCTGTGTCGTGCTATTCCCCTCCTCAAACTTCTGAAGATGAATCGTTTATGGTAAATTTAAGATGATTAAGCCCCATGAGTGATGATATACAGTTTAATACTTTCTTTTCAACATAAAAAAAACTTGGAATCTTGGAATCAAGAGTAACCAAGTGAAGTCAAACTGACCACAGGTCTCTGTTGATCGACTTGACAAAGATAAAAAGCTCATCATATACTTCAGTCTGTAGACTAGCAGCTGTTATGGGAGCAGCATTGTTGATGCACTTGACTGCAGACTTTGGCTCCGTCGAAATCGCCTCCTAACGTCCTGCGTAATACTCAATCAGTACTGTATGTACTCCATACTGCGTACTACATTTCGATTAAGTATGCCATTACCAGCAGACTCTGTGCACTCTGTGTAAACTCCAGCAATACGGCTTCTCTGCATCACGTGACTGTATCGATCACATGACTGTATCGATCACCACATTAGCGGTCCAAGCTACCGTTGAGTGAAAATAGTTTATCACAAAATTAAATCAACATTACCTCTTCCACTCAACGTAATATTTCACAGTATGATTTTCAGGCAAATCAAATGAAAACATATTTTATTTGTTACAGAAACTACGGTGAACTTTAACTTTGTGTTGATTTTGGCGGTCCCTGTGGACAAGAGTGGTAGAGTCCCTC